GTAGATGAGANAGATATAAGTAGTATATATATATATATATATATATATATACATATATACATACGTACACAAATACATACATTCAAAAATACATACATACATGCATACACACCCACACACATACATAAATACATACAAACAAACATATAAACATACAAATATATATATATATATATATATACATCTGTAATAAATATAGAGTTATCATGAGCACAACCCATACTTGACAGGCCTGTGATGTTGGCCATGCTGATGATGATCACAGGATCTCGCTTCACCCACGAGTAGTCGAAGGGATGGTACATCAGACACATCTCCCCCATCTCCAGGTCCATGTCCGTGTGCTGCAGGTCGAGCCTGTCCTGTCTCAAAATATCGGGCTTTTTGTCCTCATCCGTGTCCGGGTGCACCACATCCACCACAACAGCATCGAGTTCGGGCACACTCATTGTTTTAATACCCTCGGCTTCACTGTCAGCATCACTATTTCCCGCGTGCGCGTTATGACCCCCATCTACACCCACACCCTCACCCACATCCACACGATTGACCTTCCCACTCTCTCTGCGTGCGTGTATGTGTGGGTGTACATCTCCACTCTCTCGGCGTGTGTGTATGTGTGTGTGCACATCTGTCTCACGGTCGTGGCGGAGCATCTCTGCGCTTCCCTGTGAGTCTATGTCTTCAGCCTCATCGTCCGTGTTGATATCCATACTGTCCTGTGAAGACGTGTCCATAGACCTACCCCCGGTATACCTACCTAGCTCTAGCATACCGTAGTGGTCATTGTCCGGTGTATGGTACACACACGGGAACATGTGGTCACTGCGGTTGAAGTGACTGAACTTTGCTTCAGACTGGATGCGCTCCCATTGAGTGTAGTCTGAGCTCTCGACACTGCTGTACCCACCCACAACACGGTACGAACCATCGTCTGTGTGTAGGTATGGACGTGGAAGGAGACTGATATTAGGTTATGTATGACTATGAAGGATGTATGTATGTACATATACACACAAATATACATGTTATTTGTGTATACATATATATATATAATCTATATGCACACACATATATATATATAAAGATAAATAAAAATGTATCTAAAT